TAGGGGCTTAATAGCGATTCTGGGGTTGGTTCAGGGGCTTAACTTATGGTTTTGCCTTTTAAAAAGAGAGAGAGAGAGAAATACATATTACTCATTACTACCATTGCCAACCAAGCATACCTATAATGTTGGAAAAACCCAAATATTACTAGCTAAACAAAAGACTTATGCACTTACTTTTCGAATCAACTGATACCCTGTCAGTTTGAGGTGCATTCCCTTTCTCTATGAAAGTCCGCCCCTTAACGACTTGTTCAAAAAAAAAAAGAAAAAAAAACACAAGCCTTATTTTGCCAATAACTTAAGTAATAAGAAATAATTTTTTTAATGAATATAAGGGACTTTAAGTTTAAATTATAAACATATAAATAGAATAAGTATAAAAATATAAGAAAGTTTACGCCTATTGTGCTAATCTATATTAAAAAAATTAAAAAAAAAACTTATATTTTTAACCACTTAATCAAATTAACTATAATTGAGTGACAAAATTAGATACATTAACTAAACCTTTGTATGTGACTCGTGTGGTTATTGTGTGAGCTCTTCACTCACACCATTGAGTTCGAGCTCTTTTTTCCCTATTTTCCCTTCCTCTTACCCTTAATTCCCTTCAAAGAAAAGAAAAGAAAAAAAAAAAAAGGACAGAAAGGTACATTAGCTTTCAAGTACATTTTTTTTAAACACGTAAAAATTTAAAGAAAAAAGATTGAAATCTAACTCCCATAATTAGAATGCATTTTTTTTTGTCAAAGTTTATAAATCAATTGGCCTTCTAGGCCCCCTATTTGGTCAAGCACATTAGGTGCTAAAATAAAGCCAGTTAGGAAATGTGCTTAAGCCACAGTAATTAAGCGGTATAGGAACCATTAATCAATAGCATTTTAAACGTTTGTCCTTTCTGGGCAAGAGAAAAGGAGATCCAAAGAAAGATGGGGATTGTGGAGGACAATAGCCTCCGTTCCTAGGATGGCCTTAACTTGTGGTCATACCATCTTTTCAGGTTCTCTAGAGGCTAGAGCCCATTGATTAATGAATGATAACGT